TGTCGTCCCGTCCCCTACCTCCCGTGCCCTCCCGTGTCCTCCCGTCCTGTGTTCTCCTCTGTCCTCCTGTGACCTCCCGGGTCCTCCTGTGCCCTTCGGTGCCCTGCCGTGTCCTCCTGTGCCCCCCGGTGTCCGCACGGTGTCCCCCGGCGCCCCTCCAAGGTCCTCTGGCGTCCTGCCGCGTGCTCCCGTGAGCTCCCGTGTCCTCCCGTGGCCCCCCGCGGCCGCGCTGCAGCCCGCAGACGGCACCGCGAGACCGTTCGTGTGGCGGGATGCGCGGCGGGAGCCACCGTCAGCCCCTCCCTAGGGGGCCACATGCGAACCCTACCCCTACCCCCCACGATTTCTGAGGGGGAGGGCGGGGTTCACTTCGCCCTTCCCCTCAGAAATCGTGGGGGGTAGGGGTAGGCTTCGCATGTGGCCCCCTGATCCCGCCACCTTCCCAGTGTGCTCGTCCTGGCCCAGCGCTTGCCCACACGCGCGGAGCTCTGGCCTCTCAAACGGGCACCTCGGGCCGTGGGATGTGCTCTTAAAATCCCTGCCTGCCCACGCTCGGCGCCGACGGGCGCCTCGTGGGAGAAGTGCTGGCCTGACTGGCCGCAACCCCCTGCGCGCTGTGGAAAAGTTGGCACCCGCGTCCACGGCCCCGTGGCCCACGATGGAACGGCGCGGGCGCCAGGGCAGCCGCAGCAATCTCTTGCACAGCTCTCGGTGGGACGGGCCAGCCAAGCCGCGCCCGAATGCCACTGCCTCCACCTCCCACGTCACGCCCGCGTCGAGCAAGGGGTTGACGCGGGGTTGCCGAACCTGGCGAGGTCCTCCGCCCCAGCCCTGCACGCCTTGCGCTGGGCCGCTGCTGACCCGAAATCCCGGGCCTCGTGACTTCCCTGTGGTGCTCAACGCTTGCGGTCGGGCTCTGCGCGGGCAGGTCCTGGCCCCGTAACATCGGGGCGTCCAAGAGGAGAGCGTCCAAGAGGGGGACGGGTGCAAATCATGGCCCGAGGCATGTGCGCGGCTGCCAAGGGGGGGAGGGCGGGGACGTAATGAAATAAGACGAGGCGCCATGAAACCTGGGGAGATATCATGGCCCCCGCCATGACATCACCCCCCTCTTTGCCGCCCCCAATGTCCTGCGCGGGCCAGTCCAGGCCCCGCCCGCATCAGCCGCGGCTTCCTCGCGGCCATCGGCGCCCGGGCCCACCGCCGCCCCTGCGCGGCCTCGCTGCCCGGACCCGTGCCGTTCAGGGCGAGGGGCGCGCTCGGGAACCGGGTCCCGGCCAGGCCCTCGTTCAAGTTCACGGCGACCTTCGAGAACGCCCGCCTGCCCTCCTGGTCGGCCTCGCTCATCCGCCATCCGCCCGCCTCGATCCGGGCGGCCGCCTCCCGCAGGAGCGCATGCCGCATGCCGCATGCCATGCGCGACTTCGGCACGGCGCCCTCGCGGCCGACAAGAGCCTCGGGCCCTCCAGGCTTGTGCCACGCATCCAGCTCCCCCATCGCGTCCTGGTGGTCATCCACGTCCCGTTCCGAGCGGAAGCGGCGCTCCTGGAGACCCCTGCGGCACGTGCGCATTGGTGGCTCGACGGAGGCGGGCCGGACCCCCCATCACGGCGGCGCCCACGCCGGCCGCGCGGAGGCTGCCAACGCACGCGCTGTTCAACGACTTGTCGTTAACGTTGTGGCCCAAGGTCACGCTAGCCCAGCGCTCCCGGCCCGCGTCGGACAGCGACTGGGCCACCTCCGCCGCGCTCCACCCGAGGTCCATACAGACGGTCTACAGAAACCTCGCGGGGGAGGTCAGGCGGGAACAGAGAAGGCGCGTCCGAAAGCTCCGGGCCGCAAGCGCGCAGGGAGGCACAGGGGCACAATCCCTACACAGGTCGGGGAGCCCAGACCCCAGGGGAAATAATCGTTGGGGTCCACCTGGGCCCATGCTGCGCCCTTACGTCGCCGCGGGGCCGAGCGTCGCATGACGCGCGATATGCGTGCGTGCCGGGCACAAGTCAAATCGCGCGTTCGCGTTACGCGTGCGTTCGTCAAATCTCGCGGACTTGGCCCTGTCCTCCCCCGCGCTCCCTCCTTCAGACTTGGCGAGGTGGACGCTCGTCGTGTTCCGGCGCTAGTGGATGATGCCCGACACGCCATCCACCCTGCAGAAGCCAGGCATGGCCGTAAACAGGGGCAGCGCTAAACGGGGGAATCGGGCTTTTTCCGTATGCCCCAATGGACTATGCCCCCGTCTACAGAGCCCAAGACCCACACGGGGGCATAGCCGAACGTGGAGATCGGCGTCACCCCTGCCCCTGCTTGCTGGCCCCATGTTTTCCTGGAGAGTCGACGATTCATTGTGTTTGTGCTAAGTCTGGCCTGTCCCCCTACAGGCCGATTCTGGATGAATAAATTAAGAGTAAGAACAATGCATTAAAATATACAAACATGGTGAAACATCGTCCCCCGACTATTTTGGTTTGAACCATGTTCTTGTAGAGGGACAGGCCCCACTTCATGCTTGTGTGGTTTCTCCCCTCGTGAACCTTGGGGCTCTGCGGCCCGGCCCCTCTCGCCCGCCCCGGCGCGCGTCTCCAGTGCGGCTTGCAGAGCTGCATCCGCGCGTACGGCTGGCCGGGCGTCTCGTTGATCATGCCCTGGCGGGCGGCGCCCGAGCGGGAGGTGGGGATCCGCCACTCGGGCGGGCGGCGCCTCTTCCGCGAGGCGCCAGCCGAGTCGGTCGGAGGGGCGGGGGGGCAGGGCAGGACAGGACATCCGCATGATGGGGGCGACGTCGACGCCTACAAAGGAGCAGTGAAGGACGACTTGCGGAATCCCCTGCGAGAGACATGTGCCGCAGACCCAGACTTCTCATGGGGCCGGCAGGCGGCATACCCCGATGCTCTGAGGGGCGAACTCCGAGGTGGCCCCGTAAGGGAGGCTCGATACCTTATGGGTACGAGGGGCCCTGACTCTCCACAGTTCTGGAATAGATCCCTCTCGGCCTATAGACCTGTCATGACTGCTCAAAACCTCGACCTTTCCTGGACTGCTAACAACCTCGGTTGGCCCTTGGATGTCGAGGTCCTTGTGCAGTTTCTACGCTCTCGAGGAAGGTCTGGGAGGGAGGGGAGGATCGAGGATCCTGGCTCGCGATCCCTGGGTGCTTTTGGCATCTTTCCAAAACCCCTGGAGGCCTCGGGGTGGCCTCGGGCATAAGCAGCAGGAGGGGGGCTAGGAGCAGAAAGCGCATGGCAGCACCAGACGGGCAGATCGGACGGGTAGACCCTAACGGGCGGGTGGGAAGGCGGGCCCAGGCGGCTGGGTCGAGCGGGCGGGTTGCTGAAGCGTGCGTCCTGCATGAATCGCGAGAGAGTCTCGAGCGCTAGCGCAATCCCCACGTAAATCGTGAGGACATCCGCAAAGAGCGTGCGATTCCTGAATGCCGAGGGCGGGGCGTCTGAGTAAACCGCGAAGAACAAGACATGCGAGAGCGCGAATCCTGTATAATGTATGAGGATGTCCAGCGCGAGAGCGCGATTTGGGAATACATTGTAAGAGAATATCAGGCGGGAGCCGCTGCTGTGGTAAACTGGAGCCCAGGGGCGCAGCTTGGTGATCCCTCGGTTTCCACATTTTTGTGCGGGCAGCACTTTCGTTGACACATGCAGAACGATTACTCGGCAAGGGGGATCAACAATACGTCGTGTTGTAGACATGGGGGGTTCAACCACAACAACAAGAACAACACCACCACCAACAACAGCAACGCCAGCAGCAAGAACAACAACAACCACGACAACCACAACAAAAACAGCACCAACCATCATTCTAAGGCTGATCGCTCTTACTTGCCCGCGTGCCGTTCAAAACGAGTTCCCCACACCCTCGATACCCGCCCTTCTCGATCACACTCTCTTTGGGGGGATTATTTTTCTTTGGGGGGGCGGCGGGCTTAGATTGGCGGGCAAACCTGAACGGGCGGACAAATCCTTCGTGGGCGTACATGCGCCCGTGATTGGAATTGGTGTGGGCCCTGCAAAGGAGGGGGTGAGAACGAAGGATAGTGGGAGGAAGGGAGGGGCAGGGACGAAGGAAGAGGGAACACGCCAGGAGGAAAGGAGCGAAGAGGGGGGCGGCTGATTCGAGGCAGAGACAGAGAAAGATAATGAGAGAGAGAGAGAAAAGAGAGAGAGAGAGAGAGAAACAGGGAGAGAGAGAGAGAGATATATATATATACGAGAGGTAGAGAAAGAGAGAAAGAGAGAGAGGGGAGAGAAAGAGAGAGAGAGAGAGATATAAAGAAAGAGGGAGGAGGCAGGAGAGGGGAGGGAGAAATGAGGAGGGAGAGGAGGGAGAGGGGATAGGGCAGAGAGGCATCCGGGTGAGGGAAGAGAGGCGGGAGAGAGAGAAGAGAGGAGGAGGGAAGAGGGATGAGGGAGATGGAGGAGGAGCATGATAAGAGCGTGAACGTTCGAGGAAATCCTAAGCGAAAGCGCTTTTCCTGAAGGAAGTCTCGGGCGGGAACCCACAACGGGCGGGCGATCCCCTGACGGGCGGGTCGGGCGGGTGGGGCATTCAAGCGGGATGCCTGAGTATGGCGAGAGCGCGATTACTAAGTAAATTGTAACGGCGTCCTTGGCGCAGCGTGTTTCCTGAGCGTCGAAAGCGCGATTTCTGAATAAATCACATGGAAATCACAGGCGAGAGCGCAATTCCTGAATAACATGTGAAGGGCTCTCTGGCGGGAGCGGTGGTCTTGATTAAAATTGCGAAGAAGTCTTGATTCAATTGCGAGGAAATCTCAAGCGTGAGCGCCGTTTCTGAGAAAACTGTGAGGAAGTCTCAGATGGGAGCGGGGGTCCTGACTAAATTGCGCGGATGTCACAGGCGGGAGCACCGATCCTGAGTAAATTGTGCGGAAGTCTCAGGAACGGGGGTCCTGAGTAAATTTGGAGGAAGTCTCAGGCAGGAGCCGTTGTTTTTGTAATCCGGGGCCAGGGGCATAGTTTGAACACCAAGACTTTCCCTGTCAAAAAAACCGTGTGCGAGCGTCGAGGGTCACACTTTGATTGAGGAAAAACAGCATGCACCGGCGAGGGGGGAGCAGCAATAATTAGTCCTCAGAAATGAAAAGTCACCACAACAACAGTGACAACAACAATAACAGCAACAAGTACTACTACAACAACACCAACGACAATGATAACAACAACCACAAAAGTAACACCAACCACAACAACAACCATACCAACCGCAACAACAACAACCGCAACGCCAACAGCAGCAACAACAACAACAACAATAACATCCGCAACAACACCACAAACAGCAACAGCAGCAGCAACAGCAACAACAACACCAACGTAATCAGAAACAGGGACACCAACACCAACACCAACAACAACAACAGCAACAACGGCACCATCAACAACAATGACAACATCAACAACAACAACCAGTTTACCCTCATGCGCGATGCTTCCACACGAAGCATGCGACCATCATGATGACATACACATCATGGGGGACGCTTGTTCTACAGCGGGGTCCGTTATTCCCATTCCCAGATCTCCCGCCCAATGAGGTCTTGCAAACACCTCCTCCGAGGAATTCCAACATATCTCGCCTCGAAAACACATGCCCGCGCCTTGCTGCGCCGATGCGAGACCGCCAGTGGACCCCCCCAGCGAAGGGTAAAACACAAGGAAGTATCGAACGACAGGATTGCCTTGGTGGGGATGGGGGCTGCCGGCGGTAAAGCAAGGACCTGGCCCTGAATAGAAATGGAGGAAGCCTCGAGCAGGGCTGCTGTTGTTGCTGGGAGCGGCGCCAATGCTGAAGAGAGTAGGGCGCTAGTCCAGCGTAACACAAAACGAAGTGTTGAGCGGGAACGCTGCTTTTGTTGGGACGGTGGCTTTCGTCGGCGAGGAAAGACACCGCCTTGAGTAAGAAAGGAGGAAGCATCAAGCGGGAGCCGTAGTTTTGTCGGGACGGGGGCTGTCGGCGGCGAGAAACAGCACCGTCCCGAGGAAAAAGAAAGGAAATCTCGAGCATGAGCGTTGTTCTTGCTGGGAGCTGCACCAATCCAAGAGAGAGTAGGGCGCCAGTCCAGCGTAAAACGTGAGGAAGTCTCGAGCGGGAGCGCTGGTTTTGTCGGGGCGGCGGTTTTCGGCGGCGAGGAGGAACACAGCCTTGAGTAAGAAAGGAGGAAGCATCGAGCGGGAGTCGTGGTTCTTGTCGGGACGGGGGTTGTCGGCGGCGAGGAACAGCACCGTCTTCAGGAAAACGGGAGGGAGCCTCGAGCGGCAGCGTTGTTCTTGCTGGGAGCGGCGCCAATTCAAAAAAGAGTAGGGAGCCAATCCAGCGTAAAACGGAAGGACATCTCGGGCGGGAGCGCTGTTTTTGTCGTGGCGGCGGTTTTCGGCGGAGAGGAGGAGCACCGCCTTGAGCAAAAAAAGGAGGAGGCTTCGAGCGGGAGCGTTATGAGAGAAAGAGAAAGAATAGCGCGCCAGTCCAAGGTAAAACGGGAGGAAGTCTCGAGCGGGAGCGCTGGTTTTGTTAGGACGACGGCTTTCGGCGGCGAGCAAGGACACCAGCCCTGGGTAAAAAAGGAAGACTTCTCGAGCGGGAGCGTTGTTGTTGTTGGGGGGCCGGTTTTGGCGGTCCCCCAAACCGCTCGAGCGCGAGCATCATTCTCAATGAAAATGTAGCCGCCGCCTCGGCAAGTAGTTGGTTAGAAATTAACATTCAACAACAACAACAACAACAACAACAACAACAACAACAACAACAACAACAACAACAACAACAACAACAACAACAACAACAACAACAACAACAATAACAACAACAACGACACCAACACCACCACCACCAACAACACCAACAACACCAACAACAACAACAACAACAACCACACCAGCAACACCATCAAGAACAACAACAACCACAACAACATCAACAACAACAACAGACATATCAAGTCAGTTCGCTCCTATCGGCTCGAGATCCATTCACCACGTACCTCCCGAACCCTCGATACCCGCCCTTCGTCTTCGATCGTGCCCCCTCAGGGGCATATCTTTCTCACCTGTCACGTGTACTTCGTGATTTCGTGCAGCCCCCAGGGCAGGGGAAGAGAGGACGGATGGAAGGAAGGGACAAGAGGGGAGGAGGATGAGGCACGAGAGAAGAGAGAGTGGCAGGAGGGGGGCTAGGAGCAGAAAACTTCGGGCAAATCGGACGGGTAGGCCCTGACGGGCGGGTCGGGAAGGCGCGCCCAGGCGGCCAGGTCGAGCAGGCAGGCTGCTGAAGCGTGCGTCCTGCAGGAATCGCAGGGAAGTCTCGAGCGATAGCGCGAATCACAAGTGAATCGTGAGGTAGACCAAAGCGAGAGCGTGATTCCTGAGCGTCGAGGGCGCGGCGTCTGGATAAGTTGCGAGGAGGTCCCATACGAGATCGCGATGCAGGTACAAAATGGTGACGAAATCCCTCGCGAGGGCGCGATTTCTGAGTACACTGTGAGGAAGTATCAGGCGGGAACCGTTGTTGTTGTAACTCGGGGGCCAAAGGCCCAATTCTGAGGTGCGAGCCTCGGGAAGGGCACTTCAATTGAACAACCAGTGTGCCCCTGCGGGGGGATCAACAATACACGTCGGTCGGAAGAAGTAGGTAGAAACATGAAGTAGGAAGGCGAATATGGTGGATTGGGTCCAGGTCCTCCCAGAGAATAATGATACCGGAGAAAAACCCCAATCAGGCCTATAGGGCTAGAGGCCATAGTGCTATAGGGCTATTGAGCTATAGGGCTATAGAGCTATAGGGATATAGAGTTGTAAGGCTATAAGGCTGTATGGCTATAAAACACCGCTGGGCACGCCCAGGCACCTGGGCACCCAGGCACCGGGGCAACCCCGGGCACCCCCCGGGGCACCTGGGCGTGCAGCGAAAATCGGCGGCCAACCTCACCCCCAGGCACCCCCGGGCACCCGGGCGTGCAGCGAAAATCGGCGGCCACGATAACCTAACCATGTGAATCCGCTCGGACCCCTACAGAGGCAAGCTGGCAAGCTCTGATTGGGGAACAAACTAGTGGATTGGGTCCAGGTCCTCCCAGAGAATAACAAACACAGCAAAAACATGTCGATTATTGAAGTAGGAAGGCGCTTGAAGCAGATTTGGATCTGGGAATCCAAAAATACCTACTTTCAACGACCGGCGTGTAGTCATTCTGCATTAAATTCCACGACGACGACGACGCGATGGCCGCACCGAGGACCTGGCCTGCTCGATGCAGCGGTCAAGCCCGCGGAAGGCCGCCTCGCACAGGGAGATGTCCTCGAGCGAGGCGCCGACGACGACACCGACGACCCCGACGACTCCGACGGGGACGCGGCGACGACGCCGCCGGGGATGGCGACGTACCACGGGCGACGGCGACGGCAGCGCCGACGCCGTCGACGCCGATGGCAGATACGGCGGCGAGAGGGGAAGGATTAAGCAGGGACCGACCGTCCCGGCATTCATATAGTCCTACCACGACATGTTCTTAGAACCCACAAATGTTCTAAGAACAAAGACAATGTTCTTAGAACATAAACCAAATTGAAAAAGCAAGGCAGTCCCAACCAGAAATGTTCTAACATTTTGTGGGAACCACAGAAGGTTCTTAGAACATTGTTTGGTAGGACTATAGGGACGCCAGGACGGTTCGCCACTGCTTGAAAGGAGGAGCGGGGGAGGAGGAGACGGGTGAAGCGGCGGAGGGAGGGGCGGCACGGCAGGCGCAGGGAGACCGGGTGAGGAGAGGAGGAGAGAGGCGAGGAGGGCGAAAGAGAGAGAGAGAGAGAGAGCGGGAGGGGCGGCACGCACGGGGGGGCGATGAGGGGAGGGGGGGAAGGCTTCTGGAAAGGACGCTGCTTCTTGGAGGGCGCCGGCCCCGACACATCTTCGGACCAGGCCCGCGCCCTCCAAGGGGCAGCCCCACTCCAAGAAGCCTTCCCCGCCTCCCCCTGCCCCCCTGTGCGCGTGGCCGAGGGGGGCGGGGGGGCAGGAGCTGGGGAAACTAGGAAGCACCGATACCGCCACTCCCCGGACCTCTCCCAGGGTGCGTTCTGACCGGGATTTCGAGGCGAAGCCAGCGGTGGCGACGAGGGCCTCCCAGGAAGCCCCAAAAAGGGGAAAACGAGGGAAAGGTAGAGGTGTTGGCACCTTGTCTCGGCGGTGGACAAACCTCCCTTTAGTAAACCTCCCTTTAGTGAAAACGGCCTGGGACAGAAACCGACGGACCTGGACCCGCAAAAAGGACGGCGGCGGCGCCTCCCAGACGACACCCCAAGAGGCATCCAAGAGCACACTCGCGAGGGGCCCTAGAGACAAAAAAAATTGTAGATTTCTGGTAGAGTTTAAAGGATTCTCACGTCCTCGCCTTTTCTCAGGAAGCTTCCAAAACCGCTCTAGCACGGCCCAAAACCTCCAAGAGCACTCCGAGACGGCCCCAGAGGCTCCCAAGATTGCCACGAGAATGCTCAAGACGCCTCCAGGGGGGCCCAAGACGGCTCAAGAGGCCTCCAAGACGGCTGAAGAGGCCTCCAAGACAACCCCAATCGGGAGACCAGACGGGGGGACATTTCGATCCCTCGGCTCCACGGCGCCTCTAGGAGGTCCCAAGAGGGCCACGAGACCCACAAGAGGTCCCCGAACTCCCCAAGCGGCTCCCAAGAGGCCTCTAAGAAACTCCCAACACGCCCCTCAAAGGCCCTCTCATTGCCCCCCCCAGAGCCCCCGACAGCTCTCCCAAGAGACCCCATGACAGCATCCCTCAGAACTCTCACCCACAACCCAGGCGCGGTGCTGGGGCACGGTGGCGGGATGGGCCGTAGGTTGGCGCTGGGCCCCATGCCAGCGTCTCTTAGGACTCTGACCCACAACCCTGGCACGGTGGCGGGATGGGCAGAGGGCTCCTAGATGACAGCATGCCCATGCGTGCGTACTGGGAAGCCTGCGAAGACCGCTCAAGCCAGCAGGCAAGCGCGCAAGACGAGGTCACGGGAGGAGGAGAAAGAATGGGACGGGAAAACGTCAAGCCCTGCGTCGTGAGACTATCGCGGAGAGAGGTCTGCTCGGCAATGTTCAACCTCTGGGAGCTATCAACGAGCCCTGGGACCGTGACAAAACAACTCGGGATGAACAGCCAGTCTCGGAGAAGGTGTCCGACATCCGGAGGTCGCAAACTGCCTGCCGAATGCCACGCCTGAAAAAACTGGATGACCTCCCTGCAGCTCCGCACTCCACACGCACTCTCGATATATTATCGGAAGAGGTGCGATACCATGGGCCTGTGGAGTGAGCGTAGGTGTTCATTCGGCAAGTAGTTATGAAGATGCACGAGGGCAAGAACAAGAGACATAACCAGTAACGACGAGGACGAGATGCTTTACGGCGGAGAAGAGAAGATTATCAGGAAGCGGAGGCAGAAGGGAACGAGGGAGGACGATCAGAAATGGAGAGGTAGAGCCATACATATACATACCTCTATACATATACATACATGTATATATAGATATGTGTGTGTAGAGAGAGAGACGACACATACATACGGCTACGTCCATGATTACACGAAGAGAGAGAGAGAGAGAGAAACAAAAACATAGAGAGAGAGGCGAAGACGAAGAGCGAGAGAGAGAGAGAGAAAAAAAAAACGTAATTAGACATACCTAAGCATACACGCATGGTGTGAGAGAGAAGGAAAGAGAGAGAGAGAGAGAAGAGAGCGAGAGTGAGAAACAAAATAAATGAAGCAAGACAGATAGAGCGACAGAGACTGCAAGAGATAGAAGCCACATCCTGCCAAACCTCGAGGACGCGTCTTCCCTACGGCACGGCGGAGCCCGCTTCGGCCGCGCATCAGCGTGCTCTCCGACGGTTGGGGGGGGTCCACAATAACTCGCGGGAAATGTGGGAACTCTCCAGGACATGAACAGAGAGAGGGAGAGAAGGGATGAGGAGGAGGAGGGGGAGGAGGATGAGGAGGAGGAGGAGAGTGTTTTGCAACGCGCCGCTGCCAGCCAAACTCCAGAGTGCAAGAGAATGCATGGGTTAACCAGCAGGAAAAAAAGAACTGGGAGGATGAGGACGAGGACGAGGAGGAGGAATATAGGAAAGATGATGATCAAATCCCCCCGGGAGCTTTCTGGGGCCTCCCGGGGCCTCTCATGGCGCGAAGTCTCCTGACTGCCTGCTTATCACGAGCGCGTCGTGCGCAAGAATTTCGGTTTGCCAATGGTGTCGTGTATCCAGGATCCCTCTTCCTCGTACGCATCTCCGTCCCTGTCCCCATCCGCTTCCTCCGGATGGTGTTGCCTGCCAAAAACACTAGGACCTCCTAATCCATACTGAACGCATTTGAAATCAATGCCCTTTTGAAACCCCGCATCCTCTCCCTCGTTCTCCTCATGGCTTCTCATCCTTGTGGGAAAGGCACGCTGTGGGAATCACCGAACAGAAGACAGGCAACTGAGGTCGTACTCATGCACCTCTCTGCCCGCTCCTCGTCGTCCCCCTGTCTTCTCCCTGAGCAGGGCTCTCGCTGGAGAAGCGTCGCCCGCTAACGTGGCCGAGGGCCCACGGCTCAGAGAGGGGGATGGGCACGGCCCCTCCTTCGGGAGCTCGTCCACGCTCATCATCACGGGCAGGGTCGGGTAGAGCATCCTGTCCTGGAGGCGGGCGGTGGTCCAGGAGGCGGAGGCGGAGGAGGAAGTGGGTGGGGAGGATATCAATTTGCCAAGGGGATGAAGGAGGACGAGGACCAGGATGTCTGGGACGAGGAGGAGGTCGACGAAGTCACGGTCGACCTCCCCCTCCGTCGAGGGCCATCTTGGACAATCTTCACTACCGGGGATGCTCAGGAAGAGGAACAACTGCTTCAATTGTTTACCCCATTTTTTATAATCCATCTTCGCGCATGAAAACGGAAAACAAAAAAACAAATCGAAATCACAAATAACACGGAGGCCCCCCGAAATGGAAAAACAACTGCGCCTTGCGTTTCACTTTGCCCGCTCCCGTGGCCCGAATTCCGACCACGTTCGTAGGGCAAACTGGAAACTGACATCATCAGAAGAAGAACCAACGCCATACACATAATTAAACTTTCGGCGCTCCGCGCAGATTTCTTGGATCCGCGCGGGGCCCCCTTCCCTGGCCCCCTCCCTGGCCGCCCCGCGCTTTGAAGCCTCCCGCGCCGCCCCTCACGCGCTCCGCGCGCCGCGGAGGCGGGCCCAGCGCGGATCCAAGGCATCCCCGCGCAGCGCCAAGAGTTTACGTCTTTATGTGTTTGGTTCTAAGAACAAAAACCAAGCAGCGCACAAAAAAACGGAGCGGGCGGGCAGGAGAGCCACGGGGCGCTGCCCGAGCCTGCGCCCGTCGCAGGCAGCAGCGCCTCCTCCGCTCTGGGCGCCTCCCGACTACCTAATTACCAGAGCCCCCCAACCGACTCCAGATTTCGTAATAAAAGGGAGGCGGTCTGGACCCTCCAAGACAAGCCATTTCAGACCTCCCCCGTGGGAGAACCCTCCAAAACATCGTCCCCAGAACCCCCCCAGGCCCTCCAAGATAGCCTGGAAGAGGCCCCCCCCCCCCGAAACGAGACCCCCCTCCCTTTATTACGAAATCTGGAGTACCTACCAGAGCACCCCAACCTAACCCGAAGTGCCAAACTTCGGGTTTGGGGGGGCGGCGCGGGCTCCACGTGTGCTTGTTCGGTGTTCCACGGCGCCCCCCCCCCCCCCACCGGGAATGGAACGCAAAGGGGAAGCCTTCGGGTTGGGGTTGGGGTGGTCTGGTGGGCGGCGACCTCCTCCGACAGCGACTGGGAGACGCAGGGGGGCCCTGCCTCTTGCCTGCGCGAGAGGGGATCAACCACTTCGACACGCCGAAAACGAATAAACAACTATGCGGTCGTCGACGTCGGGGGCGTCGTCGGCGTCGTCGTCGGCGGCGTCGTCGGCGTCGTCGTCGCTCAGGGTCGGCAGCACCGGTCCAAGAGAGCCCTGAATCGCCGAACGATCTGTCCAAGGCCTCCAGGCGGCCCAAGAGCCCTGCAAAACGCCTCAAGAGGCCTCCAGGAGCACTTCCAAGAGAGCCAAGACGGCCCAAGAGGGCCGCCAGATCGCCCACGACGCCCCCAAGACGGCTCCTAGAGGGTGCCCAGATGAGGGACCAGAACGGACATTTCGATCCCTCGGCCCCGAGAGGCTCCCAGGAGGAACCAAGAGGCCCCCAGGAGGCTCCCAAGAGGCCCTAAGAGGCCCCCAAGAGGCCCCCAGGAAGCCCCGAGAGGCCCCCAAGACGCCCCCAAGAGGACCCCAAGAGGCTCCCAAGAGGCCCCTAAAATGTTCCCCTGCGGCCCCCGAGAGCGCTTCGAAGAGACGCCAAGAAGCATCCATGAGGACTCTGACCCACGTCAGCGTCGTCAGCATCGCCGCCGCCGCCGCCGTTGTCTTCGTTTTCCGTCGGGGTCAGCGGCAACGGCCGTACGGCCTTCGCAATCAAACGTGACAGCTCAAAAATGAACCGAAAGATTCCCTGACCGTTTTGAGTGACGTCGATGAAGAAGCAGAGGTCCGTACGAAAGCCCAGGACGCGGAGAAGGTTGATCTGGCACCTGAAACCCCCAGAAACAGGGTCGGGGGCTTCAGTCGTGAGCAGACCAGGGGAGGCGGAGGCGGAGGGGAATGAGGAGGAGCTTGTCCTTCATTTGCGATAGCGCCCGTGACTGGCCCCGCCCCCCCTTCCCACAGCCCCCCAATCACATCACGATTCGCGCCGGCGCCGTGTCGGAAATCGGGCATTCCGAAGCATTCCCAGACGGCGCCGGCGCGCATCGTGACGTGACTGGCACCCCCCTCCCTTCCAGAGCTTCCTCGAGGGCACAGAAATAGCACGATGGCCCTCGAGGGCTGAACAAAATGGCACCAGGACCGCGACATCTGAAATCGAATCGAGTTTCTAAGCAGTCCAGATAGGTCTGCAGGTCTGGGAGGCTATGTGTTGAGCGCTCTGGCAGGTCGGGGACCCCTCCCCCCTCCTCCCGCCCGCTCACGCCCGTTCACGCCAGGGTGTTATTTTCGAAAAAGGTCTCCAGGGGGATGAGCAGGAGGTTCTCGCCGGAGGATTTCCCAGAGAAGGTCTCCAGGAGGGGTCGGACCAGGGGGATGAGCAGGAGGTTCTGGCCTGAGTATGTCTTATAAAAGGATTCAAAGAGAGCGACGATGAAAAAACGAGTCTTACGCGAGATGACGCAGCGACCTTACGAGGCGGCTTGCGCGCGCCGCCAGCGCGGCACGCTGCTTTGGAGATGAGGGAGCTGACGCGTGAGATTGCGCGGGCAACTTACGCGCCAACCCCGGCGCAAAAGACCCCGTTCACTTGCGTCGCCTCCAGGAGGGGGGGCGGAGCAGGGGGAAGAACAGGAACTTCTCGCCGACGGACTGCTTAGAGAAGATCTCCAGGAGGGGGCGGAGCAGGAAGAGGAGGAGGAGGAGGAGGAGGAGGAGAAGGAGGAGGAGGAGGAGGAGGAGGAGGAGGAGCAGGAGGAGGAGGAAGAGGGGCAAGATGAGGAGCAGGAGCAGGAGCAGGAGGAGGAGCAGGATCGGGAGGAGAAGGAGGAAAAGGGGGGAGGATAGGGAGGATAAAGGGGGAGCAGAAACAGGAGGAGCAGAAAAAAGGAGGAGGAGGAGGAGGAGGAGGAGGAGGGGGGAGGAGTATAAGGAGGAGGAGGAGGAGGAGGAGGAGGAGGAGGAGGAGGAGGAGAAGGAGGAGGAACAAGAACAACACGCGGGGCACGGGCGATGGGGCACCGGCCGTCCCGTGCCTGCGCCGCTCGCCGCGGGCAGTCCCCCCCGTTCGGCGAACGGCGAGGGAGCGCGAGTGGGCGCAGGAGCATAGGGACGAGCAGGGGAGGAGGAGGAGGAGGAGGAGGAGGATAAGGAGGAGGAGGAGAAGGAGGATAAGGAGGAGGAGGAGGAGGAGGAGGAGGAGGAGGAGGAGGAGGCGGGGGAGGAGGAGGAGGAGGAGGCGGACGGGGAGGAAGAGAGGAAGAGGAGGAAGATGCCTCCCGCCGCCGCTGCCGAGGCCAGAGGACGCCTTTTTACGGGGCGCCGCGCGCCCGAGAGAGCTTCAGAGAAGGTGCACCGGCACAGATGATTGGACAGCGGGCGGAGGCGAGCCAGACGACCAGCTGCACAACACTGAGTCGAGGGTACAACTAAACGCGCGAGGGAGGGAGGGCTGGGAGCGCAACAAAGAGACCTCAAATGGCAATGGAATGGCAAAGGAATGCTGCACGGATCCATGGCCATGAAATGCGGCCTCTCCTGCTGTGACGTCTGGCAATCTACAACGAAGTAGTGGGCATGCCTCCCGCCGCCGCTGCCGAGGCCAGAGGACGCCTTTTTACGGGGCGCCGCGCGCCCGAGCAAGCTTCAGAGAAGGTGCACCGGCACAGATGATTGGACAGCGGGCGGAGGCGAGCCAGACGACCAGCTGCACAACACTGAGTCGAGGGTACAACTAAACGCAAACCTGCCAAACAATCCTTGGTCATCTCGATAAACTGCTGAATTATTCACCGTTAAACAAAAAGACTGGTCAATGCAATCGTCTTAGAACTGCCATGAGCGTGATCGAAGCAACGAGCGAGGGCCTTGCACAAAGCAGGAGGATACTGCTGAGCGGCTTTCGTCTTAAAGCCGCCTCCCTGAGCGAGGCCATGAATTGATGTGTGCTTTTTTCCCGTGCGAGAGCAGAGCTTGCCATGACACTCACGAGCAACAGACTGCAGAGATACGCGATCCCCTAAAATCTTGGTCGGCTTCTTCCACGGCGTCCCCCATTGGCACATGTCCGTATACACGAGCTGGCTAGTACTCCATGCGGCAGCTTTTTTGAGACGAGGCAGCAGCCAGAGACGCGAACGTGCAGGATTCTCCAGCGCCACTGGGCGCTGGAGCAAGTGCATCAACTCAAAAATACTGCAACAGAAACCGGCAAGAATATTACCAATTCGAATGGCTTGCACATCGGCAGGATGGGTGACCTCAGGAAGCCCCATCAGATGCTGGTCAGATCGGAGCCGCGAAGGGAGAATTGGTCCAGCTTGACCCAGCTCTCGCAGCGGCCCTGTGTCCCTGGCCCTCGTCCACGTCTGGCACGGCGTCCCCGTGAAGACTCCCCAGACCTGTCCGGCCAGGATCCAGCCTCTCACGAGCTTCTGGGCCTTCCTTGCCGAAAGGTCCCAGGCAGGCCCACGGCAGATGTCCCACTCGAGCACGACGAAGCCCCTCTCGCGAAGCGCCCGCGAGAGCCCGCCATGCCCGCTGAACAGCTCTAGAAAGACCTGCGGCTGGACCAGGCGGGCACCCCGGCTGGCCAAGGCGCGAGCGAAGGCCTCGCGAGGCAAGTCGGCAGCTGCATCGCCGCCTCGACCGCCCTCGCGCGGACGCCCGGGGACAGCCGCTGCAGCTGCTCGCCCACGCGCCCCTCCTTCTGGTAGCGCCTCAAGCTGGAGTCGCAGTGCCAGCGACCTCTCAGCTTGATCTCCTGCAGCGTCCGCAGCTGGCGCGCTCGATCGTGGCTGGGCCCGCTGTGTCGCAGCATATGCAGCTCCGGGCCCAGAGCCTGGACCCCTGCGCGCCCCGCCGCCTCCCGAAACTGGACCACCAGGTCGGCGTGCCGGAATGCGAACAGCGGCTGCCCGGCCGGCGTCTCCCTCTTGAGGTAAGAGAGCACGGGCACGAGGAAGTGGAACAGCGGCAGATCGAACACCACGGTCTCGTCGAACTCCCTTGTCTTGCTGCTGATCTCCTCCTCGCTCGGGTGCAGCACGATCGCCCAGTTCGCCGCGTGGGTCCCCGGCACAGGCGGCACGAGCATCTCGGCGGTAACCCGCTGCAGCTCGCTGGGGCGCAGGTAGCAGTGGAAGGTGATGATCGTCCAAGCCGCCATCGCCCAGAAGCCGGTCAGCAGCAGCTCCAGCGCGATCAGCGCGACGACCTCCCACGGCAGCGGCAGCCGCGCCCGCCCAGGGGCGAGCCGCTTCCAGCCCTTCAAGGCCTGCGCCGAGCGCGGAAGGGAGAGCCCTCCCGACTTTGCGAACTGCGGCCGGAAGTACTTCACCGCCGCTAGCCCCTTGGTGCCCCTCTGCGCCAGCTCCCCGAACGAGTACTCCTGGTCCATCCAGCTGGCGACCACGAAGTCCGTCTCGTCGTCGCCCGGCTCCGCCTGCAGGGAGCCCGCCGGACGCAGCCGCAGCCACATGCGAAGGATGTCCTGCCACAGACCGTCGTACTGGGCCACGGTCTTCGGAGTCACCGACGCCCGCTGCAGCAGCGATCCAGGGCCTCGGAGCGCCGTCCGACGAGCAGCAGCAGTAGCTCCCTGCCCGCGCCTCGCAGCTCGCGCCATCTTGCGGCTCCGGGCCGCGGGTGGTGGCGGCGCCCGCTGCTCCTGGCGCGACTGGGCCGCGACTGCACTCAGGTGCCGCCCCCTCCGAGGCGGGGGCCGCTCGGCCAGCGGACCGCCTCGCCGCAGGGCGTGCGGGCCGGCGGGCGCCCCGCAGAGCGCCGACGGCAGGCTCGCGGACGGCCAGCTCGGCGAGCTCGAGGCCGGCGCTGCGGCAGTCGGCCTGCTGGCTGCTGCGCCCGGCGTCCCGGACGGCCCACTGTTCGAAGCCTTCGGCAGTGTCCGCCGCGGCGCTGTCGAGCCAAACCCCGAGGGGGATGCGGCGGCGCGACGGCGCATCGGCGACGTTCCGTTCAGACGGAATCCAGCGCACCGAGGCCTGCACCGCGCCCGCCAGGCACCAGGCGGCCCATTGCCGGGCGACGCGGAGGACGCCCCCAGCTGAGGAGCGGCCCTTCTCCATAGCACACACGAGCCCCATGCTATCGCAAAGGAAGAGGATACGCTTACCGAAGGACTTCGAGTCGCGAAGTGCGTGCCTAAGAGAATGAACGAGCGCCCGACCTTCGAGGACGATGATCTTCTCGGACCGGGCCCACCCTCCGCTCGACACGACCTGCCACCTCCCCCCGTACAGTTCCTCCTCCACCTCCGGGACCTTCCACAAGTTACCCTCTGGATCCTCCACCGCCACCTCCGGCGACACGACGGGCCCCACCTCCGGCGACACGACGAACTCGGCGATCGGCTCGACCTTCGCGGTGTCGGCGGTCGGCGGGTCGCTCTGCTCGAAGAGGCAGTCGCGAGGTCGCGAAGCAGTTGCTCGTCGAAATCGCCACCTCTCCCCGTACCTCCCAGCACCACGAATTGCTCCCAGGCCGGCCTCCTTCTGGCACGCGCCCCCCCCCTCCTCGCTAGCGTCGCTCGCGTAGACCCTGGGAGACCAGGTGGCCCGGAGATCAGCCCAGGCCAGGGGGATCAGGGAGGCGGCCCAACGAAGCTCACGGCGGACAGACGGCGGCAGCTTCATCACCCGATCGAAGTACTTCCTCGAGAAGGCATACACAGAACTAAATACGGCCAAGAGCGGGCGCCTCGACATAGCAATGAACGCGAAGTGACCAGCAATCTTCCCTACTTGTCGTCCCGAAGCGTGCCCACGAGCAAGCAAACCCTGGATCCCAAGACGAAGCCTCCAAGCACGACGACTCTTCGGCCTCACAGCTCCACGCTCTCCGTCGAAGACCCAACCCAGCTGCTCAGACACAGAGGCGGGAAGATCAGGATCGTGAAGAGGGAGCCCCGCGCTGCCCAAGGCCTCTTGGGCCGACCTCAGGAGGGCCGCAGGCCTGTCAGGATTCACACCAAAGGAAATGAAATTGTCAACATAGGCTGTGTAGGCCCCGTCCTGGATGGGAGGCGTCGGCATACCATCGACCACTTCGGGAACGTTCTCAAACCCTCCCTTCTGGAGTAAGATATTTCTGTGCACTTTCTGGCAAAAGTCGAGCGCATGCGTCCAGCCCATAGGCAAAGCGGCCAAGCACGGGCGCACCCAAGCGCGGCCTGGAACTGGACGCCCGCCCAGCTCACGCACTCCGAGCTGCGCTGCCCGAAGCCGCGGGAGCGCGAAGAGGTGCCGGAGCTCCGGCGGCAGGCCCATGTTGTAGAAGGCGTCCGCTATGTCGACTCCCGCCGTCCACAGCACCTCGCCCGGCGCCAGCTCGATGGAGCTGAAGCTGCCCCCGGACGCCAAGCTGGTCTTGTCGGGCTCCGCGAACCTGAAGTTGCTGCCCCTGCAATCGATCGCCAGGCGCTGGCGACCATCCTTCTTCCAAACGGTGAATAGACCGACTTCCTCAAAATTGCCCTCATCGACCCTGAACTCCAGCATGCCACCGTCCCTCATCCTCTCGACGAAGGCCAGGTAGGCCGCGGGCTGCCGCAGCACTGGATCCAGGTAAGGGCGTGCGAAGCCAGCCTCCTTCTTAAAAATCTCGGCGCTTTGAATTGGCAAAACCTTCGAAGCGATGAACCTTCGCACGATGTCTGGACCGTCGTCTCCCAACAACTGGCTCAGGGGCACAGGCGTGCCGCCCACAGCTGGCAGAGACACGAGGTCGTGCGCGAAGGGGGCCACCGTGACGGGCTCGCCGTCGGAGTAGCCGGCGCCAACCTGGAGCTCCCGGAGGGCCACCTCGGTCGACAAGTCTGGAGGAATGGAGCCCATCGCCGCGCAGCTATCGGCGAGATGCTCCAGGCAAAGCTGCTGCATCCTGTTGGGCTCCTGGCCAGCACGGCGCGGCGGGTCATCAGAGCCGGCATCCAGCTGGTTGAGCGCCACTACTAGCTCGGCCACGAGCTCACCCTGCAGCGTCCTGTTGGCGCGGCGACGCCGCGCTGCGCGAGCGCCGCCGCCGCCGGCAGCAGCCTGCGCGCGACGCCAGTCAGGGACTGGCAAGGGCAGGAGCGACCGCTGCATGTGGTCGTCGCCTCCGCCCACCACCTCTTCTGCATTACCCCCGGGTCGAGGCAGTCCCGGGGGCGGGCCCAGCATCATGACTTCGGGGGAGGAGCGTCCCGGCCGCCCTTGTTGGCCTTCTGCTCCTCCCTCAGCTTCCTCGCGTTCTTCTTGATGCTGTGGATCCGCTCCAGCTCCTTCGACACCGAATCGAGCAGCTCGGGGCACACCATCGAGGGAGACCTCGAGCCTCCCATGAATGCGAAGGCCTCCTCCAAGGGCATCCGCATGTTGTGCTGCTGCTGCTGCTCCGCGCTCCTGTCGTCCCAGTAGTGCTCGATGAGCTGGAGCTTCCTGTAGCCGAGCTCCGCGCTCGCCAAGTTGTAGACGTCCAGGTGGTCGGCCGAGCCCATGGCCTCGATCATCTTGGAGATCGTCTCGTGCATGTCCACCCCGAAGTCGGTTGGGTTCAGCTTGCGCTTTGACTTCCACATCTCATGATGGAGGACCGGGCCCCCCTCCTTCACCTGGTACTTGGCACGCCACTGCGCCGTCCTCGGCGGAGCTACGCCAAACCCCGGGACGGATTCCTCGCGGCAGAGCTGCACCACCTCGCGCCACTCCCGAGAGTTGCCGCCTGGCTGCCCGGCTCCTGGCGGGATCTCGAGCGTGCGCGCGTCGCTCCCGCGGTACTCCTGCGTGAACCACGGGATCTCGCTGTCCTGCAGCAGCGCCGCGCTGGCTCCGGCGCCGCCGGCGAGCGTGAGAAGCCCGCGGCGCCCCGCGCGGCCCACGAGGGTCGCTCCGCCCGGCACCCCGACGGCCACCTTCGTGCCGAACGTCACGGCGCCGTCGACGTCCTCGGCGGCCACCCAGTGCCAGCCTGGCGCGGGCTCCCCGCTCGGCTGCGGCGCCACCGCCGCGGTGTCTGGCACCGCCGGCGCCCGACCCGCTGGAGCAGCGGCCGCCCCGGGGGCGGGGGCCACGGCGGCTGGGGCCGCGGCTGCCGGCGCTGGCGCGGCCGCGGCCGCCGGTGGGGCTGGCGGGGCCGCCCCAGGAAGCGCCAGCGCGCCTGGGACCGCTGCCGCTGGGTAAGCTCCGGCCACGCCGCCCGGCGGGGGGCCCACGATCGCCGGGTCCGCCAGCGATATGCTGCCCGCCGGCGCGCCTGCACAGTTCACCGCGGACAGCGTGAGGAGGAAGGGCCCAGCGGGCATCGGCCCGTACCCCAGCGCTGCCCCGCGGCGGAGGGCGCTCCAGATCTCGGCCGCCGTGGGCAGGCGGCGAAACCTGCAGACCCGGTTCTCCGGGATGCCTCCAGCCCTGCCGCCCTGCCCGTGCACGAAGTGGATCTCCATCACGTCCGCGTCTGGGTTCGTGGTCTCGCCGTAATCGTCGAAGTCCGGGGTCATCACGTACCCTGAGCGAAATATGTCCAGTCGCTCATGATACAGAGCGGGGCCTCCCACTCGATACCTGGTCAGGTGGAAGCCTCCAGCCAACGGCCCAGCAGCCATCTTCAATAGGCGGCGGCACCCGGCGTCCTGCGGAAGGCCTTTGCCTGCTCCAGCGCGGGGTGCGCGAGGTCGTCGCCCGCCGGCGCGCTGTCCGCCTCCACGGGCGCCGCGGCGGGCGCCGCAAGCGCCCTCGGGCGAGGCCGCAAAGCCCACGAGACGGCCGCGGCCCCGAGCACGGCGCCCAGGAGCAGCGAGAGGCCTGCCACCCAGGCCAGCTGGGACCCGGGGCACCCCGGGGTGGCGGCGGCCGCCAGGGTGCCCTCGCCGCTGGGGCACGTGCACTGCAGCGCTGGGCAGTGCAAGGCCGGACTGCACCAGCAATCCGGGCAGTCGGCCACCGAGGCCCGGACGACGAAGGCGGTGGTCAGCGCCTGCCCCACGTCGTGGAGCAGCCTCGCCAGCCCGGCCTCCATCCCCCGGCAAGGTCTCAGCGCAACAAAGAGACCTCAAATGGCAATGGAATGGCAAAGGAATGCTGCACGGATCCATGGCCATGAAATGCGGCCTCTCCTGCTGTGACGTCTGGCAATCTACAACGATGTAGTGGGCAGGAGGAGGAGGAGGAGGAGGAGGAAGAGGAGCAGGAGCAGGAGCAGGAGGAGGAGGAGGAGGAGGAGGTGTTGGGGACGGGCCTACAGCCAGCACGTCACCAACTCTCAGCCAAAGCCGGAAGCCTCCGAATCTGACTCGACGCCGTTGCGCGAGGCTCGGAGGGAGGCGGTCCCTAGGTCCCTGACCCAGGGTAGATCCGACTCGACGAGGCCGACAGAACTCAAAATCTGCTCTCGCGGGGCGAAGCCCCCTGCGAAGTAGCCCGCCATGGGACCTGAGACGCTCGGGGGGGGGGGGGGGGGGGCAATCCTCGTGCAGCAGGACCCTGCGCTCGGCGAGGTTCAGGCCCTCGTGGGCCCCCAGAGACAAATTCGTCAAGTCCTTCTTATACGACGGGAACCGACCCAGCCGAATCCATCTCAGCTGGTCTGAATTCCCGCCCGTGGTAGCTCCAGCGTTGGGAGTCCCCGGGAAAAAACGATCCACGCCCGCAGCAAGACTGGAACCTGCTCCTGGGGGCCCCCGGAGGCTCGAAGACAGGGCAGGCCAGGAACGCATGACCGTTCGCCCTAAAAACTTGCCGAGAGAAGGGCCGCCACTCCTCCCCCAAGTCCAACGAACCTCCACCCTCCCTTTGATCGCCTGCCAGGGCCTGGCCTTCCGCAGCTTCCTCGAGCGAGGGCTGCTGCAGAAGGCCATCGCTGCCTGTCGAGCGCTGCACGAGGCCCGTCGTGCCGCGGGCCCCCCCCCCCCGCCATTGTGACCTCGACGCTCCCCGCCCACATGCGCGCATGGCGGGCGAGGCATCGCAAGCCCTTGTACACTTTGGCATCTTCCTCACTGACCCCGTGACAATCTGCCCCGAGCTTCGCAAACTCGTCTGCGCGCCCGTTGGCCCGACGTTCCCACTCGGTGCTTCTGCCTGCCTCTGCGTCGGCGGCAGTTGCATGGCCTGACGTCTCGTTGCGCTCGAAAGCGCTGAGAGCAAACGCGCACCGCACAGGGCCCAAAAGGTGGGCCCGAGGGGACCCAGGGCCTTCAGACAAACCAGGCCCACGAGCGAGCGAGTCCAAAGTGTTGTCGCACTGAAGAAGGGGGAAGACCTATATGCGACAACGAATGCACAGCATAGTCTTCCCTGTCTTTACTCGTCTGCTGCGGGGCCATACTCAAAGGGACACGTCCGCGCGCCGCCAACGCCACGTTTCCGAACCTGTCGACCGAAACTATGCCCCAAACAGCTCTGGCGAGCCCGTCGAGGCCCATGTATTTCGCAGACCCGTCCAGGAAGAGCAGCCCTGAGAGTTGGCCCGTCGCGGGCCGCTGGTGCCAGTGGACCGTCTGGGTGGGCTCCTCGACGTCGAAGAGGGACCTGGGGTGAGGGAGATGCACCTCGCGAACCTCTCCGCCACCAGCGGGCCTAGCTCCTTCACCTTCTGCGCGCAAGCTCCCAGACGAGCGCTCACTAGATCCCGAGACCAGTCCTCGAAGGCACCTCTGGTGATGCTTGCCCCAGACCTCCGACTTCCCCCTGGACATCCTGGAGCCTGCCGAGAGAACTAGCAGCACCAATACGGAGACCAGCCATCTTCGAGGGAGACGCTCCTTAAACCGAAGAGCCCAAGAGGGCCGGCGCCACAGGCCCCATCCTGTGGACCATCCCGATGTCCGCCCCAGCCCCTTGAAGCCTCTTCAACCTCCTGGCCCGAGACGAAGCGGCCGAAGCCCTGGCATTCAGGAGCCCGGCCCTGCGCAGGCCTCCCAGAGTCGCGTCATTGCCTAGGTTCCTCGCCGTGTCCGTCCTGCACGAAGTAGGGAGGGGCCAGGCCTGAGAGGGGAACTTATCGACCTCCTTCGAGCATAGGTCGGCGCACTTCTTAAACTCCACTGGCAGCTGCAGCTGCTCGAAACTCTTGAAAAGAAGCTCGACGGCACCTGATAACTGAGCTGAAACCTGAACTCTGGGCCCACAGCTCTGACATGTAATATCGTCGACAACGTTGCGTACACGCAGCAAACTTCTTTTCCCCCGAGCTTCCAACAGGGGCCCCAACAACATTACCTTGGCAAAGGTTGTGGCCCCCGAGCAGCCCGCGACGATCGCGCCGTTCGATTCGACGACGGCAGACGCAGCACCCCCATAGAGCAGCACACGGAAGCCAGAATGGATGGAGCAGTAGCCTCTCGTCAAGCGCACAGGGACCCCGATGCGTTTAGCTGCGGCGAGCAGGTGCTCATGGTTCACATTATCGTAGAATTTGGCCAGGTCCAAGAGCGCCGGGGCCGATTCAAAGCCAGCTTCTCGACAATGAGCACCGAGCAAGTTGTGGACCTAACCAGCCCGCTCGCATGTCGCGTCGGGGCCCGAGCTCCAGGAAAAAAAATAAAATTACCCTGGCGACGTACCCAACCCCTGCGCAAACGCAGGGCGCAAATAGTTTAGGACACTTTATAAAAGGGGCGATGACGGAACGAGGGTTACGTATGTCTGCAGACGGAATTCGGGACACTCGCAGGACACTGGCTACAGGACAAGGACTAGATAAAGCTGATTAGTTACAATCCCTGAGCAACCCTAGCCACTTCGAAGGCGGGGATCTCAGATCGCAGCCCCCCAGGGATGGCGAGGTCTAATTTGGGTCCGCGCGTGGCGACACTGTGTTGGGCCCCCCAGCAGGCCTCGAAAGTGGCGACAGTTCCACAGATCGCAGCCCCCCAGGGATGGCGAGGTCTAACTTGGGTATGCCCGTGGCGTCACTGTGCTGGCCCCCCCAGCAGGCCTCGAAAGTGGCGACAGTTCCACAGATCGCAGCCCCCCAGGGATGGCGAGGTCTAATTTGGGTCTGTCAGTGGCGTCACTGTGCTGGGCCCCCCAGCAGGCCTCGAAAGTGGCGACAGTTTCACCGATCGCAGCCCCCCCCCCCCAGGGATGGCGAGGTCTAATTTGGGTCCGCCCGTCGCCCTCACTGTGCAGGGCCCCCAGCAGGCCTCGAAAGTGGCGACAGTTTCACAGATCGCAGCCCCCCAGGGATGGCGAGGTCTAATTTGGGTCCGCCCGTCGCCCTCACTGTGCAGGGCCCCCCAGCAGGCCTCGAAAGTGGCGACAGTTTCACAGATCGCAGCCCCCCCAGGGATGGCGAGGTCTAATTTGAATCCGCCCGTGGCCCTCACTGTGCTGGGCCCCCCAGCAGGCCTCGAAAGTGGCGACAGTTTCACAGATCGCAGCCCCCCAGGGATGGCGAGGTCTAATTTGAATCCGCGCGTGGCCCTCACTGTGCTGGCCCCCCCAGCAGGCCTCGAAAGTGGCGACAGTTTCACAGATCGCAGCCCCCCAGGGATGGCGAGGTCTAATTTGAATCCGCGCGTGGCCTCACTGTGCTGGCCCCCCCCGGGATGGCGAGGTCTAATTTGAATCTGCGCGTCGCCCTCACTGTGCTGGGCCCCCCAGCAGGCCTCGAAAATGGCGACAGTTTCACAGATCGCAGCCCCCCAGGGATGGCGAGGTCTAATTTGAATCTGCGCGTCGCCCTCACTGTGCTGGGCCCCCCAGCAGGCCTCGAAAGTGGCGACAGTTTCACAGATCGCAGCCCCCCAGGGATGGCGAGGTCTAATTTGAATCTGCCCGTGGCCCTCACTGTGCTGGGCCCCCCAGCAGGCCTCGAAAATGGCGACAGTTTCACAGATCGCAGCCCCCCCAGGGATGGCGAGGTCTAATTTGAATCTGCCCGTGGCGTCACTGTGCTGGGCCCCCCAGCAGGCCTCGAAAGTGGCGACAGTTCCACAGATCGCAGCCCCCCCAGGGATGGCGAGGTCGGTCTGCCCGTGGCCCTCACTGTGCTGGGCCCCCCAGCAGGCCTTGGCGACAGTGATCGCAGCGGGATGGCGAGGTCCCACTGTGCAGGCCCCCCAGCAGGCCTCGAAAGTGGCGACAGTTCCACAGATCGCAGCCCCCCCAGGGATGGCGAGGTCTAACTTGGGTATGCCCGTGGCCCTCACTGTGCTGGCCCCCCCAGCAGGCCTCGGAAGTGGCGACAGTTCCACAGATCGCAGCCCCCCCAGGGATGGCGAGGTCTAATTTGGGTCTGCCCGTCGCCCTCACTGTGCAGGGCCCCCCAGCAGGCCTCGAAAGTGGCGACAGTTCCACAGATCGCAGCCCCCCCAGGGATGGCGAGGTCCAATTTGAATCTGCCCGTGGCCCTCACTGTGCTGGGCCCCCCAGATGGCCTCGAAAGTGGCGACAGTTCCACAGATCGCAGCCCCCCCAGGGATGGCGAGGTCTAGTTTGAATCTGCCCGTGGCCCTCAGTGCGCTGGGCCCCCCAGCAGGCCTCGAAAATGGCGACAGCTTCACAGATCGCAGCCCCCCGCAGGCAAGACAGGAAGAGGCAGGGAGGGAGGGAGGAGGAGGAAGGAAGGAGTGGAGACAACACTGGTCTATTCAAAACGAATACCCAACCAAGGAGGGTTGGGAACAACAACTCGAACACGCGAGGTTTTCCCCAAGAGCGACAATATGGCTGCCTCAACCGGCTCCAAAGCTTTTATATATATATATATATATATATATATCTATATATATATATATATATATATATATATATATATATATATATATATCTTCACCGGACGGACGGTATGTCCAGGAATACCACACTGGTAAGAAACATAATAAAAGCCCCAGGGTCCACTTCGAAGAGCGCCAGAATCTCCAAGAGGCGAAACTGGTGATTTTCAGGACGCTGCAGCACCCACCGCGGACGAAAGCCATCCCAACCGAGGCCCGCCGAAGGCCCATATTTCATACATACACGAAACAGTTTGAGCGGGGAGAGGTCGGGCTCCTCGGCTGGGGCCCCCCAGGTGCTGGGAGCAGGGCCGCGCCCAGCGCGAAGCCAGATAGGATGCCGCGCATCTAGCAGCTGCTGAAAGGCGGCCTGACGAGCCACAGGAAGCCGAGAATCAGCAGCGATACCTCTCGGGAAGACGCTCGTGTCCTGGTGCATGGCGAAGGCGCGAGCAGCTTGACCCTCTCCAGTAACAGCTTTCTTGGCCCACTCCTTCCACTTCGCCAGTTGCATGGGCGAGCCCAGCCGCTGGCGACGAGTGCATTCCTTATCGATGCCTTCGTGGATCTCCGTGTCCCAAGGGCCAGTAGCCAACGAAGCATAGATCATGGCCAGCAGTTGGGCCTTGGCGGGCCCCTCGCCGACCAACTCCAAATCGTCGAGGATGTTAGATAGCTCGGACTTCCAGGACCCAAGCAGCGCCCCCCCCCCTTGCCCCCTGGGTTCCCCAAGCTGATGGCCCTGACTTTCCAGGGCAGTGCCTCGAACGAGATCCAGCAGACCGCTTGCTTGGAAAAACGACGGCGGCGATCCCTCCCCAAGAGGGCAGCAAAGGGAACTTTGCGGGTCGGGGGCCCAGCAGACCGACCAACATAACCTTTTGGGTCACAGATCCCATGGATCTCAACCAACCTAGCCAAGGCTTCGTTGAACCATTCCCGAGACGAGGCGCCGAAGTTAGTGTCTAGAGGGTCACTTCATTGGACGTCCCGCTCCTGCGGCAACGGGCCCATCAGCGCGGCGCTGAACAGCTTAAAACGCGTCTGCTGCGAGAACACTGCGGCCTGGCAGAGGTTCCCCATCCGAAGCAGCACGGGACAGTGGGGGAAAAAAGAGGCGCTCCTTGGACAACCTGGACGTCTTTCACCCACGCGCAGATGACCGGCGACGCAACAAAGAAGTCCAACTCCCGACCTCCATTATCATGATCCGTCATCCCCTCCTCCAGAGCTCCCCCGAGGCCGTCCTAAGAGCGCAAGAAAAGCAAGTCGGCTTGTCGGGCGCAGCCAGCGCGCCGTGCGCGTGCTGAACCCCGCCTGAGAGCGACAGGGCCGCGGGCGTGTATCCTGTCCCCTTGGACGATCTACGGCCTCCTGCTGCAAGGGTGGATCGCGCCCAACACTTCCCCCCCCAAAAAAAAATCTCCACACTGCAACACTTATGCCGTTGATCAAGTAGACACTGTTGATCTCAAGGCTCTCGTCGAAACCAGCGTTGGCGACCCGGCCTACGATCCCCCCGTCATAGTTGCCTACTCCTAGGAACTCCAAGGGCTTCGAGGCGATCTCCCCCGCGTCCGAGACCCCCGCTCCTCCTGCGCCGATGGCCTTCCCAAGAGACATCTGGCACCCATTTCAGCGGGCCCACCCCTGGGCCGAGATACCCTTGTCGGGCGCCTTCAGATGAGCCCCCTGGAGGGCGACCACCCGGAACTTATCCTGAACAAGGGCCCCACGAAGCAACTTCGGGATCTCCAGCTTCAGCCCTGTCGCGGACCCAGTTCACTACAGTGTCCGCGGTCGACCAAAGGTTGACATTGGCGCCTGCGATGGGCAGATCAGCAGGTCCCTGAGCTACACTAGGGACACATCCGTCTGCAAGAAGATTACGATCAGGAGGTCCACGCCCCCTCCTGTCGGCCCCTGACTGACGTGGGGGGGAGGGTGGGCAGCTCGTTCAATAGCCGAGCTCCCTGGTGTCTGCGCCCAGCCAACGCCCTGCCCGCCCCCCTCGCGCGCCGTTGCCCCCGCCCCGGCGACGGCGAACCCGGGAGTCCCACGGGCCCCCAGGATTTGCGCCCCAAAGCCAACGAGCTCCCAGACGGCGGCGGGCCCGAGGAGGAGGAGGTAGCACCCGACCTCCAGGCCGCCGACGATGTCCCAGCCGCTGAGGTCGGTCCCGTGGGCCCTGTCTGGCTTGCACTTGTCTCCGGCCCAGGGGGGGCGCATCCCCGGCCAGTTGGGGCAGCGCAGGGAGACGCCGAAAAAGCACAGCTCGCACTTGAACTCGAAGCACATGCGCGCTGGAGGGTCTGCCGCATGGGGCCTGCATCCCCTCCCCTCCTGCCCTTCGGGCCCGCGCCCCTCAGCTTCGGCAGCCGCCCAGCCGAGCCAAAGCTCAGGCCATGCCTGCGAATCGAGTGCACATGCCTCGGCAGCGTTCTCAACGTTGCTCCAGACCCAGCCGAGCTGGTCGTCAAAGCCGCCGTGTTCGCGTGAACCCGAGCGCTGCGACAGCTCGGGCATGCTTGCGCTTGGACGCCGCCTGAGCTTCGCCTGGGGCAGCAGCCTTGAGCTCCTCCTGCACTGCGGAGCCCCCAGCAGCTCCATGTCGATGTCGACCCCGTCGCCGTCATTGGCTGCACGCGCTCGCCACTCCCTCCTGGGGCAGGAGCAGGAGCGCCAGCAGCTGCTGCAGCATCATCAGCAGCGCGCTTCGCCTCCTCGGCTGCACGCTGCAGCCCCTGAAGCTTCTCCAGCGCTTCCTTCCCCTCCGTGGACTCGACGACGGACGGTGCGATAACTGCCGACACGGCTTTGAGCAGGTCGTCGAGCTCGCTGGCATGGGCTTTGCACAGGAGCTCCTGCGCCTGCGCCAAGTCCTCGCGCCCTTTAGCAAAGGACTCGTTGACCGTCGCAAGCTCCTCGTCCAAGGACTCGCGCTGCCGCTCAATATCACTGACCCTCGCCTCGAGCTTGCCGAGCTTGGTCTTGAAGTTCTGGACCCGCCAACGCGCTGGGGGGCCGACTTCTTCCCTGCTTCCGTAGCCTTCTTTTCCGCCTCCTCAACAGCCACGATGGCAGCGCTGTCGGCCCCGAGCTTCTTGAGGTAGGCGACCACATCTTGCCCAGCAGTGGGGGGGGGAGGCTTCACTGCCTTTGCCCCCGCCCCCCCCCCCCAGCCCATGGCGGCGCAGCCCCAGATTCGGGCCGAGAGCCTCCAATGAGCTTCGCAACCTGCTGCTGCAGGTCTTGGAGGTGCTTGAACAACTTCGCGTTGGCACTCCTTGGCGGGCCGTTCGCCCATTGCCCCATGGGCTGCTTGGGTCCTGGACCAGACGGCCGCGATGCAGGCTTAGCCCTTGACGCAGCCAGGCGTACCGCTTGGATGTGTTTCTGCGCAGCAGGGCGCCCGCACTGACGGCACGCGATCCTCGACGCCCAGTTGTCCGCGCAGCCACAGGAGCAGCCGCAGTGAGGTACGCGCGGCCCCAGCAACACCTGGCCATCGGGCGGTGCCATTCACCGCCGGGGCTCCCGCAGCTCTGAGAGATGGCCTTCCAAGCCTCGTGAAAGAAACACCCGGTTGGCCCGCAAGCGCGAGCCGCTTGAGCCAAAATGGCTACGGAGGAGGAGGACGACGACGACGAGGAGGAAGAGGAGGAAGAGGAGAAGGAGGAGGACGAGTAGGAGAGGAGGTAGATGAGGAGACAGAGTCGAAACTGCTGGGGGCGAGGACGAGCCGGGGCGAGGCCGAGGAGGATGAGAGGCGATGGAAAGGAGGGCGGAGAGCGTTTGGGAGCGGCATGGCATGCTTCCTTGTAGGCGTGAAGGTCGTCCCAAACGACGCCGAAGCGCTTCTCTGCGGAGTGCAGGCGGCTCTTCTCAGCTTCCTGGCGCGGGCCCCACATCAAAAAGGAGAGCGAGACGGAGGAGTGAGGAGTCCGACGACGAGAATGTTGAGGACGACGAGGAAGGGAAGGAGGAGGACGAGGAAGGGGAGGAGGAGAGAACATGGAGTCCAAGAAGAGTGGGGAGGAGGATGGGAGAACAAGGAGTCCGATGAGAACGATGACAAGGAGGGGAGGACGGAAAATCTGAGGCGAAGAAAAGAACGAGCACTCCAAGGAGATAGCGACAAGTCCGAGGGGAGGAAGGGGGGGACGAGGAGACGAGAACGAGGAGCTCCGAGGAGGGGCGGTGAGGACCCGATGTGAGGACGACGGGGGGCCCGAGGGGGAGGGGGATGAGTCGAGAACGGGGAGTCCGAAAGGGACTCTGCCTCCTCCGCGCTGCCTCCTCAGGCAGCCGCACCTCCGAGGCGGGCGCGGGGCACCGGCGGGCACGAGCGGGCGGGCACGAGCGGAGTGGCCCCCCCGCACCTCTGGCGGGCCAGCCCCAGGGAGCCGGGCGATCATTCATGAGGGGCGATATCTCTTGGGGGAGGGGGGGAGACACGTGCCCCCTTCGCGCCCCCTTTGGGCCCCAGGGGGCCCCTGTGCTTCGGGTGCAACAGGTACACCTCTCCTCACCCCCCCCCAATGATCGACCCCCCATTCCCAGACCCCCGACGTCGTGTATCCTGGACCGCTCTTGGACGGTCCCGAGGCCAGGCTGGGGCCCCCAGACGCCGAAGATGCCCCCCCCCTCGTGATTTTGCACGACCCCAGGGCCCGGGGCGTCTGGGGTACTCGACGCCCGAGGGAACCCCCACCCCGTAGATCTCTTCCAGCGGACGCTGCCCCACAGAGGCGGGGGAGCAGGGGGGCCGGCGCGGCCCGTAACAGCCCGGCGCGCACCCCGTGGCAGCCAGGTGCCCAGCAGGCCAAACACCACCGAGGCAAGCAGCAGGAGGGCGACCAACCCCAGGCATGCGGCATCCAGATGTGTTCAATACGCGGCCCTCGGGTGATTAGCAACAAAAAGGACCCCCAGTCCTGTGGGAGGGGACATCAGTTAGGAGGGCCAAGACTATTAGGGATAGGGGGCCTTTCCTGCAGATGCATCGAGCAACCTCGAGTCGGTCGCGGCACCGATCGTTCCAGGTTGAATGCCGTCGGATCCAGTGGAAAGTGTCCTGCGGTGCTGCCGCGTCGCAAGATTCAACCTTGAACGCATTCGCCGGCGTCGCTGGCGCGCCATCGCCGCATGAACCCACCGTACGGTTAGACCTACAGGTGGCCACATGTGAACCCCACCCCCACCCCCCTACGATTTCTGAGGGAGGGATCCCTCCGCTCGGGAACTCCCGAACCATGTTAACCCCCACCCTCCTTTAGAATCGAACGGAGAGATGCGCCCCAGGGCTGAGAATAGTTGGTGGCGATCAGAAACGGGTCCTACGCGACATGGATAGCGACCTTACATGGCATAACGACCCTAGCGACCTCCGCCTCCTCTTCCTCCTCCTCCTCTTCTATGCCCTCGTTTCTGGGGCCCTCCTCCTCCTCCTCCTCCTCCGCCTCCTCTTCTCGATGCCCTCGCTTCTTGGGCCCCCCTCCTCCGCCGCCTCCTCCTCCATCTCCTCCTCTTCATCCTCCTCTTTCTCCTCCTCCTCTTTCTCCTCCTCCTCTTTCTCCTCCTCCTCTTTCTCCTCCTCCTCCTCCTCCTCCTCCTCCTCCTCCTCTTCCTCGCGATGCCCTCGCTCCTGGGGCCCTCGGGGCCCTCGTTTCCTCGCCGGCCTCCCCGACTTCGTCGCGGCGCCTGGCGCCTTCCCTTCGAATAGCGGGCGGCCTTCCCTGTCTGCTCTGCGCGCCGCCCGGGGGAGAATTCCGACCTTACGATTGCCCGCAGACATTCTCGTTTTCGTCCATCGCGCCCGGCGATGGTCGGGGACGGACAGACCTCCCTGTAGTAAAACGTGGTTTAGTGAAAACGACGTCGGGCCCAAACCTGGCGGGCGCAAGCCTGGAAAATAACAGCCACGGCGCCATCTCGAGAACCGAAAACGGACAAA